TCATAAATGGTTAGCAGTACGCTGCTGGTGACTTTCTGAGCATTTTTGAAAGTGCAGAAAATATCTTCTTGATGTTAAAACAAATGACATGAAAATGTATTTGTAAAGCACTAAGTACCAACTTTCTTCGTTTCACAACTTAAGAAATATTCAAGCTTAGCTGTTGTAATGATATATATGACTGGCTAATATTTGCTCTTTTGAAAGCCTGTGAATTTGATAGAAGTCTGTCTGTCCTAGTTCTGTTTTTACTGACTAGGGTAGAAAGTGTTCAGATATATCAGTTTATTAGAAGTTCGGTTGTATGAAAACATGGAAGTTAATTTCCCTTCCTTGAAAGAATCTCAGTTGTTTGTATTTTTCTTTTTACAAAGAATGTGAACTAAAAGGGATTCCAACTTGGATCAGATTTCTTGTCAGAACACTGATTATATATTTGTGTGCATAAGTGAAACAAGACCGTGATCTTTAATGTTTTGTTTTGAAACAAAAACATTTTGTTTGCAACTACAAAGCTTGTGTTACATTTTATAAAGTTCTGATACATTCATGTAAGTTCTGTTCTTTTTGCCTTTGAGATCTCATTTTTCTGTAATAAGGCTCTAAGTATGCTCTGAGAGGTGTAAACTGATTATGACAGAAATAAGGAAGTATATACTGTTGTGTCTTAAAGTACACTAAATGAGTCTAAACACAAGGTAACTTGCTGGAAAGTGAATTTTCAAGTATTGGAAATTTGGAAATATTGTATGTTATAAAAATACTTCTTTTAAGTCTTACTCTCTTTGCCTCTTTTCAGCCCTTTAAAGGCTTTTGAAAATGGTATGAAGTTGGGTTTTTATTGAGAGTCAGCAGATGAATAGGCGATTAGGTTTAGAAAAAAGGTATTTCAGATTCATGGAGGATAACTTTGAAGTTATGCAGTTAAGTCACACTTGTTAGGGAAGCCACTGGTGCCTGTAGGTACACATTACACATGTGTGGGAACTACAGCTGCTGGACTGTGTGTCAGTCCTTGGAGAATGCTGCACAGGTCCTTTTCTTGAAGGGCTCTCTGCAGTACTGGCAGTAACAAACAGCAAGAAGGAGGTGAGGCGTGATGGGAGCATGGCCCGCGATTGTAGCCGATGTCTCCTGTGTTTCTAGAGGTAACAGCATGTGAATACTGGTGGTGAAAGCAAGTGTAGGACTTGTGCATTTCAAAGAACTGGGGGTGATATTTCTTAGCTTACACTGTACCTATTTTCTGTAACTGTTTTTGCTGTGCAAACCATGTGACATTCTTTTCCCTCCTTGCATATGGAATTTTAATCTGGAAGCACTTGTAGCAGAAAAAGAATGAAGAGAGGGGCAAGTATAACTCCTTCTTCATACTGAGGTAGAAAAACATCTGCCTTTATTTGAAGCTAAAATTGAGAACTCAATTGATGCTTCAAAGTGGATGTTTCGCTAGATTCCTCTTCTGTGCTGTGTGTCTATGCAAAAGAATAGCCTCAGTCCTTATGCAGCACAGACTGCCCATGACAACTGTCCTTTCCACCCATGAGGTCTGAGTTACTGCATTTGTACCAGTGATGGGGCCAAAAAAGCTAACAGACTCTAAAATTGGTCTTACCTCTCAGAGTGAGCTGCACAGTCATTGACAGAAAAACCTGTGTCTTTTTGGCGGGGACTAAACCCACAGTCTGCTGGTTACTTTGTCTTTTTTTAAATGTTATGTTTATCTCCATAATTCTGTGCAATGTATTTTTATGAGCAGGCATGCTGTCAAGATAGGCTTGCACTGGGAAGCCCTAAATACGCATGATTTTCTTTCAGGACTTTCGACTTATGTAAGTTGCCTAACTTACAGTGAGGAGGATAACAGAGATGTGTGGCAGGCAAAGCAGAGAGCGGTTTGGGTGTTTTCTGGACAATACTAGCTTCTTTGAAATGGAGCAATACATGTCTTTTGGGGAACTTTTTTCTATATGAGAAGAGCAAAGTTAGGCAAAGTTTCTGACACCTGGTATTATGTACTAGCCACGCAGAGAGGGCGAAGACTTAGGCTTGTCTACTAATATGCTGCTTTCTGACAAAGGACTCGTGCGGTGGGACGTGGCTAGTAGAAGTGATTTGGGGATTATCAATAAAAACTTCAGTAAAGAATTGAAGGCAGATGAATGCTTTCCTTCTGATTTTTGAAAAAGTAGCTCATCTAATGGCTTTTAATCAGAGAAAGAATAAAACTCAGTATAAAGGATGAATTGAGATGCAAGTGATGTAAATAATACACTTCATGACCACGGAGATCCTTTGCATGCGCTTTGGGTTGAAGATATTTTGACGATGAATCCAGTGTTTTCCTAGGTTCGTGGAATTATTTTCTCCTCTTTTTCGGTTTCCTTAATTTACAGCAAACAGTTTCTCACAGGATTCTGTACTGACATTCCCTAAATATGGGGTTTGGCCATTTTCTGACCCGGACTGACAACTTTTGTGTTTAGCTCAGTCTTTATAACTTTGGTTTTCATTCTGCTGCTTTGTGCACCCTAACACCATTGCACTTTAGCCTTAGCACTGCATTTCTTTGTTTGCTTATCTATTCCAGGCCTTGTTTTGGTTCATTTTCCCCTTCCTTTCTAGATGCTGCTCGATCCGTTTCTTAGCCCCTGCTTTCTCACAGCTTGCTTGCCAAGGTGCACGTACAAGAATGCCTTGAGCTCCGTCCTTGCTATGTAATTTTGCCAAAATGTCCCCTGGAGGTTTTTCCCTGTATTTGCTTGTGGTTTTTTTCTCCTGTGTGGCGGATGTGCAGTGGGTTGAGCCAGGCTGGTGATGGTGAGTGCGACGTAAGAGGACTCTGTCTCGGTTAGCAAAGGACATAACTGCCTTGCTTACTGTTTGCCGCTTAATTACATGAGGCGGTGGAAAGCTGCTCCTAGGTCTGCCCCTGCTAAAGAAGTTACACTTTGTTTCAGGCTGATCCTGCTCTTTTTTGGAGGTAACTGGTTTTCATTTTGCTGTAGTTCAGCAGCATGTCGTGGTTGTTAGGTAAGAGGCTCAGAAATACTGTTCTTGAATGTTTTCTGTGACAAACAGCACTATGTGTGAGCTAATTTAATAGCAGCTCTGAATCGAATACTTAGGTGTAAGTGAGTTTTAAGTAGCACCTCTTGGAAGCAGTAATATATATTGTGTTCCTGCAGTTGGATTTGCCTCATTTCTAACAGTGCTTTCAGAACTTTTAGTTGTCTTATATTTTTAACAGGCTGGTGGGCATGCTGTAAAGCAGCCTTTCTGGTACAGCACAAGCTAATGAAAAGCTGGAATCCTTTTTATGTCCTGACAGACGCTCCAGTTGTGCTAAACTTGATGACTATCACTGCAGGGTTGGAATCTTTATTACTGCACCAAGTGCAATCTGGTACTTGGAACAAAAAGATAAAAACCATTCACTGTTTTAAAGTAATCTGTAAAAACAGTTACTTTGACTCTGCATCACCTTTCATGATTTATTACTTGGAGTGGAAAAGCTTTGAATTTTTGGGGGAGTCTATGAAAGGATCAAGTATTTCAAAATTTATTTGATAGCTTAAAAGGATTTCTGTTCTTAACCCTGATGATCATTTTTGCTATGAATGCTATTGTGTAGCAAAACCTGCTTGTTTTATGGCAGTATTCAGGTTTTTATAACTGCTTTCAGGGCTCAGTCTTGAGAGTTTTTGTATTAACTGTCCAGCGTGTTCACACACAACACACATACACTAAATGAATTCTTCAATTTCTGGCATTTAAAAAAATAACGTAATGAGTTTTAGACATAGGACTTGCACTGTTTAAAGTTTTCATCATGCAGTCCATCACCATAGTGTGCAAGTTCCTTGAAGTTTCACTAAAAGTCAGTTTCAGGAAAATACTCAGCTGAATCATGCCTCTCTTGTTATGTGATATACATGTGAATTTTATTCTTTTTACCATGTGAGTAGAAGATTTAAGCAATTTCAAGTTGATAACCTGCTTTTCAGCTATTCTTTTATGTAACACTGTAAATGTGTAGTTTCTAAAAATGTTACCTTTGATAAAATTCATGTCAGAAAAAGTATAAACATTCTTAAATTTAAAAGAAGTCTAAAACTTCTGATGATGTCAGCTTTAAAACTCATGGGAGTTCCTTGGAAGGAAATTATCCAAGAACATAAGTCAGAAATTTAAATGTGTTTTTATGAATTATTACTTGAAAAGTTAATAGAAAGGGATAATAATCTCCTTGACTTCGAGACTAAATGCTTCAAATGAGTTTGACTTGAACACAGTCAAAGTTCAAAAAAACCTAGATGCTGGAGTAGAAAATCACAGTAACACACACCAAAAATAAAGCTTGATTTTGCTGTTTTACACTAATTTAGCTAATCTGTCCCTTCTAGTTTCTAAACCCTACAAGAATGTGGCTCAGTGCTTTTATCTACAGTAAGAATTTCCCTAACAGGTTCTCTGTGCTCTGTTACAAGTCGTAGTGGGCAGTGGTATCAGTGAGGACTTGGGCCTTTGTGTAAATTTTTTGTACATCACTGTTTTGTTCCCTCTTCAGCTGTAGTTGTGCATGATAGTGTGTTTTTTCCCAAAAGTGTTTAAGTTGGTTGTTTAACTCTGTGCAAGTGAGGTGGGATGAGTAGATTATGTACAAGAGTCTTTCTTTCATTTTTCAGTAATGTTTTTTTTGGGGAAAAGGAATAAAGCACATTTTATATCTTTTTTTTGTATTAGAAGTCCACAGAAAATGCAAATCACTATACAGTGAACTGTCTAAAACAATTAAAGTTTGCATTTGGTACCCTTGCTACTTTGATGTAACCATTGTTCACATGTTGCTCTTCTACGCATAGTTTGTTAAGCATTTGCAACTTAAAACCAGCAAGATAATTACACACCAATACAAAAAAAATCATCCCTTCCACAAAAAGAAAACCCAAACGCCAACAACAACCTCCCCTCTAACTTGTTGTATTACTGCTCCACAGGAAACTGTTGTGCTGAAAGGAAGAATTAACTGGTCTTTCAACTTCAGCCTTTTTATTGTGAGAGGGGAGATCACAGAAGTGTTACCATGGGGAGAACAGCAGCTAAAGGTAAGGCCTGGTAGCTTTAATTCAAGAGGAAAGAAAGTGGGGAACCTGCTAGATTCCCTTTTTGAAGCTGGTGGACTATTAACTCGACAATTATTATACTGTTAGATTGAAAAAGACAGTTTATGGTACATAGTGAATACAGGTAAGTTCAAACTTTGCATTTTTTTTAGAAAAAGTAAGCTAAATTTAGCTGTCCTGGAGTTCCACAAGTTCAACAAAAGTAATTCTGTCCTGTGACAGCCTTGAGACCATTATTCTAGTCTGAAACTGAAGAATATGTCCAGATGTGCTATTAAATAAAATAGAGAGTTTTATTCTGTAACTGCATGTAATTTAGCAGGACTGAGTAGTACAAGGAACCAGATTTTATCATGATGAATGGCATTAGCAGCTGTCTGTTGAAGATAAAACGAGAGTTTTTAAAAAAAGTTAATCCACAAATACACAGTGTAACACAAAGGTATGATTTCTGCTGTGTCATGTCTGCACAAGTTAATTGTGAGTTCAGTCCTAAAATAAAGAGTGAGACTTGACCAGAAACAAGAGTGTTTGGGCTGGTGAAACAAAGAATGTGAAAAGAGAAAGACCAACTGTCTGAAACCAGGTTGCTGCTGCTTTCAAAGCTTTCAGATTCATAGTCCTCCCCCATAAAAGGCTGCTGACACTTTTTGTACTTTTCTTGAGCTTTCCACCTTCAGCCCAAGCTGCTTTATGTGCTTGTGTGTTCCCTTGGTAAATAATTGTCTTTTGCTAGAACAGATTTTCTGTAATGGCAGGAGTCATCCATTTAATTGTTGCACCAAGAGTTTATGGAGGAAGTCTGTCCGCTTCTCTTGTAGGTTTTCTGCATGGCTGTTGTCTAAATACACTCAAAGAGACTCCCTGTTCCAGGCAGATAAGATAAGAATCTCACTAGGGAAGTACAAAAAGAAGGGAAGGGGGAAATTTCATATTCACTCTGTCTTGATATCTTCAACTGTGTACACTGAGGCTTGGTGAAGGGTAACTGAAAGGTGCTCACACAGCCCTGTGTGGTAGGGAGTGAAGAAGGCACTCTCTGAACAATGGTAAGTCTTGGGCTTGTCTTAGTAACCTTCATCTGAGGGCAAGTAACTGTGTGGGATGGGAAGAGCAAAGGTTTCTGTCACCCAAAGGTATTTCACATCCATCAGGAAGAGACAAGGAGTCTCTTTGAGAAAGAGGGTATCCTGCCATGTTTTGAACACCCAGCAGAGTTGAAGACTTTAGGGTGGCTGGTTTTAGCTGCAGAAATCTTGAAAGAATGACTTGAACTGCATTTTCCCCACATTGGACAACAAGCAAATGGCAAGTCTCAGAAGATAGCACATATGTGCCTCCTCATGGAGCACAACATTCTGTGGTAAAAACTGCTGCTGTCAAAATACGTGGTGCTTGCCATCACTCAGACAGAGTGAACATCCTGTTTGTTGAAAGGTTAACTCTTCTAGAAAGAAGTGGAGTTTTAAAGCATCTCAGACAAGAAGCTGTAGTTCCGCACAGGAGTTTGAGGAAGTACACATTGGTCACCCAGGTTTATCTTTACCAGAGCTTTACCACTGCCTTCTGTTGAGTATTTTCTGTTTTGTATTCACAAGCCAGTCAAGATAACTTTGTCTTTTTTTTCTTCTTTGTCTCTAATTTCTTGCATGGTAGATGTGGTTGCTCTTGCCTGTCTGTTGTTGAATAATCTTATCAGCAGAATTCTGTGGTTACAGATAGGGTGGGACTAATGTAAACATGTGGAGTTTTGAATCACTAAGCAGAAAGCACTATGCTAAATAATCTTATTCTAATCTTGGTTTGTATCTAAAGCTTTAGCTTATGAAGTGCACTGTAGAAAAACAGTGAACAGTAGAATACATTGCTTTTATAATTTTATTATATGTTGTACTCTTATCTTGCTGCCTAAACGAAAACAATCTTTCATGGGGTATTTAGCCTGCATGTGTTATAGGCTAAATATATACAGTTACATAGCAAATATATAAACTCTATATACTTATGTGGATTACTATATTTTCAAAACTTTCTTTGAAAATCATATCCCATTCTTTGTTGTTTTTTTAAAAGAGAACTGAGTAGCATTTGATTAAGTCCACAGCAGCAGCATTTGATTTTCACTCTTGTTTGAACAATTGATCTAAAACATACTGTGTTTTACATTGGAAATTAGACTGAAACTTGTCTCTTCAAAAATGGACTTTATGAACAGAGGAAGGTAGATTATGAATTAAACTGGCATATATTTTTATCACATGAGCTTCAAGACTCTATCTAAATACATCTCTTCTGTCTCCAATATAATTACTCTCTCTAATAAAGTTTCCATTTTCAGGTTTCAAGGAATTAGCCATTGAATGTGGCTAAGTGAAGGGGATGAAAAGAAAATACTCATTGTACTTGACGAAATATTTCCATCTTTCATAACCTCATTTTTGAGGTTTGATCTCAAAATTTGACCAAGCTGAGGATCATGTGTGGAGTCATCTTCCTCAGCCCAGTGATATAATAGTCTTGTCTTAATTTTTTTACATGATCTTTGGATACTAAATTTGCTAGACTTTAGAATATCAAAATTTCAAATGTAGATTGGTGTGCATTAAAAAAAAGTGTTTATAAAATAGATTCATGCTTATAGCATTGGATTTTAATAAAATTTATTTTCTTCATTGATTGTTTTTGAAAGTAAACCATACATTTTTTTATCTGCCCTAACTACTGACATTGAAAAAGGCACACCTGACCAGGGCATCATAGCAACTGTGAAGTATAGACTGGGGGAAAGTTTTCTGGGGTGGTAGTAGATACAGGGTATCTCATGTGGACATAAATTGGTAATTCTTGCTGCTAGTAGCTTTTCATCTGCTGACACAAAACACTCCATCTTTGTAACAATATTCCCGACTTTCCATTGAAGGTTGGAATGCATAAAAGTAAGGGAAGCCTTTGAAAACAGTCTTGATTTTGTTGATACTTATTTTTGGATGCTTCTGCATGTGCTGGATGTGCTTTACTTGACCATTTTGAAGAGCAAATTTCTGGCCATCAAAAACAAGTGATAGTGATGGTGCTTTGGGTTTACTATGCACGAAAATGCCACCACCTCAGATGAAACAGATTCCTCAATTTCTATTGAGAAACCCACTTCTCATTTATATAATCATCTCTTTTTGTTCTCATAGTTTTCTAATGACTGATAAGAAAAACGTGTTAAGAGTTTTATTTTAGCTTTCATATTTGCTATGATGTTTCTGAGATAGGCACTACACATAACTGGTAAGGGAATAAATAATTTGTGTGGTGATTGTCAGTGAGAACACATGTGGTTTCCAGGCTGTATTTTTTTCACATTCTTTCACCTGTTCTTGATGTCTCTGATCATGAAAGGCTGTCGTCTTGTTTGAAATCTGGCTCTGTTGGGTAGATACTCTTTCATGACTCTGTCCTTTCAAGCTTTGGGTGTTCGCAGGAAGCAGTTATTAGTTCTCTTATTTCAACGGAGTCCCACCTAGAGACTTACTGATTGCCTCTTTGGAAGTTACTTACTCTGTAAGCTGACAGCCTGATGTCTGTGATAGTCTCATGACTGTTTTGGGGAAAGCCTGACTATCTGAGCTTACAGAACATGGCAAAAGGCTCTGCTGTTGATTGCTGCTACCCAGTAGAAAATTGTCTGGATTCAGCTCAGTCCCAAAGAGGCTGGATGAAATATACTTTGACCTGTAGGATAGAGAAGGGGAATGTTAGCCTTGTGTTTGATCATTGTTTTTGAACACAAGTATGTTGCTTTTTGGTGCTCTCTGTTTTAAGAAATGCCTTACTTATAGTGTGTCTTTTCTGTTTGCTGTTAGGGCTTAATGTTTGCTGCAGAACAACTCATTGTATTTCAAGTGTTTCTGGTCACCACATGTTTTACATTCTAGGTCAGGAGTGTTTCTGTTCCAAGAGGAAGCCAACCAGTAGCTAAGGACTTAGGTGGGAATGGATACAGGAGTTGTCTGCTAACACAGTTTTTTGATAAAAGTGAGCCATCCCTTCACCTGTAGCAGTTCAGGCTAACTAGGATGACCCAAGGTGTGAGCTGAAGCACATGCCTTCCTGGAGGAGCAGCCTTGTTCTGTGTATTGAGGTGTTCACAGACTGAGAGTTATTCTCCTATGCAGAGCTTGGTAACATTTTTTAATCTGCAGATGTACGTGTACTTTTGTTGCCAGCTCAGTGTCATATTTAAATTGAGCTGGAGTCCATGAGTGTCAAAAACAGGTCATCAAACCAGTGTATTTTAAAGACTAAAAGGAATGAGTGGAACTGCCTCTCTGTCTTCTGCATTATAGTTGCCCTTTGTCTCTCATACATGCCGAAATCCATCAAAAATGAAATAGGACAGAGTCCTTTCTGAATGTGTGTAGAGATGAATGATAGGAAGGTAGAATCTTCTGAGTGATTCTTTTAAATAACTGACATATGCACTGAGGTAGCTGATTTGAGTATTTGAGAAATTAATATGAGTATTCAAGAATCTAAATATAGAATGGAATCTTTAACTCAGAAATGTGCGTTTAGGATGGGTTTGGTTTTTGTCCTTGTTTCTCAGTTCATAGTGGTTTAGACAAGGTTTATAAAGGTACCCAATATCTTGAGGATCAGTTGTGTGTAGGCTGAGTAAAACTGTTAAAAATTAGGACAGGGTTGCTGTCTGTGAAGCCAATAGTATGTATTCTGCAACTAGATTTATCCCTGTAATGTGATACAAAGTAGTAAAAAGCTCTGCTTTTTCATGCTGTACTTCTCAGTCTGTTTTGAAAGGAAAATAGTGCGGTGATTAAAGTTATACAAATGCCTTTTTGATTATGCACTGAAATGAATAAAATAAAGTCAGTATTTGGAACAAGATACTCTGTGTTGTTGAAAGCTTTGTGTTATGCTGGGCATCGTTATGATGTGAATATTACATTTATTATGTAATGGAATCTTGTCTT